GCATTCCGAACCAATATGCAGAGGAATGATTCCTTCGGACTACATGTGCCGATCTCCTCATCGGCGCAAAGGACATTTCTTATGCTGGCGCAGTCGTTGAGAACGGCGTTGAAGATATGCCTCAGGGATGCGTCTCTTGATTTCTCGCCGTCTCCGCGTGCCTGAGGTCGGCATGTCGTGCGAGACGAACTCTGTAATTCCTGCACTAATGGTATCACTCGAGGGTACAGCCACGGATATGGACCCTATTTCCTGTTAGTGGCGAGCGAGAATAGATATCCAGTGTCTTACCTCCTTCACCCACGCTGGAAGTTCGAATGCGCCTCTCAGAAGGTGAGCGTACTCCTTCACTTTCTGCGGAACGTCACTGTTACTCTCCACACCCCGACCGTCATGATGCGCGGCATCGCGAACGATTGTTTTCAGATACGCGTGGTACGGGTCCATTATAATATGTGCAAAAAATGGCCTTACGAAGAGTCAAATGTGAGGCAAGGCGCGGCGCGCATTTCATCAACTTGAACGTGTTCGCGCCACGAGACGCGATCACATGATGGCTTGTGGGTGCCAGTGTTGCGCCGTTCTCGTAATAGACGGTCTCCCATAAACACTACATCGATACTACTCCTTGACACATTCGTAGGCCCTGCCAGATATACATAATTAGCAGTCTAGCAGACAACGTTTGTGTTCTCCCAATAGTCACTCGATTTATTCTTCCTAATATCCGCCCGGCGCCGGGGAAGTCTCTATACTATTCATACGTAGTATTGTTTACATGTGATGTTAGCTTCCGTCCTTGCACGCGATGGTCTACTCACGCAGAATGGTTTGCTACAAAGCTGGGAGAGGGGGATAGATCCTGGCAGATATCTGGGGCTGTGTTTTGACAACAATATGAGTTTCAAGTACTGTTACATTGTGGCAGTGCAAGGCTGAACAAATACAGACAGGGGTATACGACGAGTCAATGAGATGGTACGAGGAGGAATAAGGGGATGATGTGTACACTACTAGAATCACAAGACTGTCCATAACAATCAGGAAAGAGAGGGTATACACAAGAACGATCGAAGACGGTGAACACCGTATACACAGAGAGAGCGAAGCTAAATAACGCGTGATTGGATGCGAGATAAACCGATGCGGTAATCATAAATACATTGTGGATGAATCTGTTCTGGAGCGTGTGGTCTTACACGAAGAGGGAGACGTCGAGCCCGTCGGAGAAGTCTAGCACAACGACCTTCTGATCGTGCGATGTGCTGAGAGTAACAAGCCGTTAGAATTCTACGATGCACGGCGCGGATATGGACGACTTACCTCACGATGCGGCAGTGGTCGAATTTTACGTCAAATATATGGCTCACATGGCAGCCGCGGAACTCGCGGAGCATCTTGCCAGTGTGCATATCCCACACCTTGACCGTCTTATCGTAGCTCGCACTCACGAGACGGCCACTGCGTGGGTCAAACGTCAGCGCCCGCACGAGCAAATCGTGCCCGACAATTGTACGCAGGCACATCCCCGTCGATGCCTGCCACACCTTGATCTTGCAGTCATTCGAGCCCGAGACGATGTAATCATCCTGCAGTGGAGTGAGAAAGCACGACACGGTGACCGGGACTCGGACATACCTTGAACTCGATGCATGCCAAGCCGCGATCGTGTCCCTCAAAAATCCTAAGACGCTCCCCAGACGTAATGTCCCACAGCATCATCCTCCCGTCCCCGCTCGCACTGACAACCTTGTTGTCCTGCATGCCGATCGCGTTCACAGGGCCCTCGTGCCCACGGAACGTACAGTGGAGCTGCAGGGTCTTGCGGTTCCACACACGAATGAGTGCATCTTTTGAGCTGGAAGGCCGCCATCGTTGTCAGAGAAACAGGTGCGAGATAATTAACGGATCAACGTACCAGCTGACAATCCAGCGGGAGTCGATCCGCAGGTCCAACACGCCCCCAGAATGACCCCGTAGCACGGCCGCCATCTCAGCCGCCACCTCGCCGTCCCCACTGCCGTCCCCCGCGCCCGGGCGCGCGTATAGTGCCCAGACGCAGATTGAACAATCGCTCGATCCGCTCACCATGAACCCGCGCCTCCAGATCCGTTGCGCATCGTCCTCACACCACGAGCCATCGTCGCCTTCTTCGAGGTCCCAGTCCTTATCGAATTTGAGACACAGCACACTCCCGCGGTGTCCTGAGAATGTCGCCAGACAACGGCCCGTTTTCAGGCTCCACACTTTGATTGTACGATCTCGTGAGCCTGTAATGATACGCTGAGAGTCGAACTCAAGACAGTACACGCTATACGTTCTTGATATCAGCACACCGGCAGTCAGCTACAAAGGAGTACGAACCTGTCCTTGTGCCCGGATATTCGGCGTACTTTCGGCTCCCAAGCCGCCGCACCCTGGGTCTCTGTCCCAGCAATCGTGGGGCTCGCCGTCCACCGCCGATCAAGCTCTGCACGGGTCTGGTATGTTCCATACCAATCAACCTCGAGAGGCGCCGGCACAAGCAATCGCGATGCGGACAATGAGGAACGTATGGGCATGGGTTTTGCTGCACGACGCAGGTCTGCCCGCCATCCGTCAGATTCACGACGTTGAAACAGCGTGCGCCAAACAGAGTTGTCCCGTGCGAGATGACTCCAGCGTCTGCGTAAACATGATTTAAACATTGTCAAGTAAAGGTAGCACCCAGTTTACGAACCTGGACACACGCAAACACGCAAGGATGGCCGGAAGATCGAGATATGAAAGAAGATGAAGAGCCAGCTCGACAGGTAGATGCCCAACGATGTCTGTGGGCAAAGTGCAGATTAGCAGAGCTCCACGGTGGCAATTCGAATATATCGAGAATGCATGATGAAACTCGCGAAGCGAAAGAGAGAACCTACCTGTACCGGTGATGCGAGTGACATTGATGAAGCATGCTTCGTCATCAATCAGTTCACCCTCCTCGCCGTCTAATGGAGGCATATTCAAGTAGTCAATGAATTCCCTGATCCCGTCCTCGTCGTCGGTGACAACGCCGTCCCGCCATACAGACACCGACGGGAGACTAGGTCGTCGCTTGTTCTTCTTCCCAGGCGACCCCTCTCGCAGGGCATCCCAGATACGTGCAATACCGAGCGTCAAACTCCTTGATGGCTTCAGTGGCGAGGGGCCTGCAAAGGCGTAATAACCAGAGACAGTTCGACGCCCAGGTGGCAGACAGTAGGGCGCACCCTCCTCGGAAGCGGCATAGGCAGAAGGATACTCAGGATTCCAGTTGATGATCGAATAGCTTTCGGTGCGGAAACTAGGGGTTGGCGATGGCGGACGCGTGACGGTGAGTGCACGTGGAACCGCAGCAAAAGCACCGTCGACTTGCTCAAGCTCGTCATTTTCAAGCATGCGGGACGAGGACGAAGGCCCGTTGTGCGGGGACTCGCCGTCCGGTGGGAGATCGGATGTGGTGAGGAAAGGCGATCCAAGGCCCGAGCGGTACGTCCTACTGAAGCGCGGGGTGCGCTCGGCCTCGGCGAGGGTGATGTTGTGCGTGCGGTAGAGAGACGGGGACGCCATGAAAGAGTGTCGGGGAGTGGTGGACGGACAGATAGGACTTTAGAGCGTGTACCGCTGATCGTCTAGATCGCGTTGATTAGAACCAGCACTGAGCACAAGACCGCGAGAAAGCGAGTACTGTCACCCACACAATAAGATGAGGTGCTTCGCCTTGCCCTGCCTCGCGACGACGTATTCAACACAGGCTGTTATCTAAGACTTTGCGATAGTGTATGAAAGCCACTCAGACCAACCGCTGAGTAGTATCGTTTGCAAAACACGGTCCAGACAACGGAGAATGAAAAGAAGAAGCGAAGGACAGCGTGCACGACGTCGTGGGCGTGGTTCAACCTTAGGCGCAGGCACCTGTCACGCTTACCCCTGCCTTGCATCATGTCACAGCGTGACCACATCACTTCATTCGCGCTGACGTCGCGGTGAACTCAGGAGGCAAATAATACAATGCTGTGAGAGATATATTGTATGAACATCCCATAGCTGTAACTGAGGGAGGGAGGGCTGGACTGACAATGCCAATATGCCATATTTAGTGTGAACTGTGCCTAATATAGCGCCCCCTTTCCCACCTGCCACGGTGCTGCCCTTCGCTTGAATACGCGTCTAAGAAGTTGTGTGACTTCCATGAGATTGCCTTGCTGCAAGCGACGAAGCCGGCGGCATCAAGCCCAGTGAGGTCTGCTAGCTATTCTCGAGCTCAAGGCCGGGGGTTGGGTGTATTGTTTCCCTCGTGGTATCCAGTCATTCTATCGTGCCCCTGTGACGCAAGAAATAGTTCCGGGCAATCCTGCTGACGAGTGCCGAGTGAGCAGTCAAAATCGGCACGCGAAGATGTGTCACGGCCGTGACGTCCCGACATGAGCCGAGCAAGGCCGAGCAGCTCGCCTCACCGTCCTCCGCGTCGAGCGGATCCCCCTTCCTCGCTCCTTTCTCGACGAACACACACCTCGCTGGCTCTCTGCAAGTGACCGTCGTTCGACTGGACTGCGAGTATTGCTGCACAACGATCAGCTTGTGCGGTCGGGGGCTATTCATCGCAACGCATTCATCACCGGGTGGAACGGACACCAACAATATCCGACTCGTCGCCGTCGATCCCTTCACCTCTCTCCCACACACTACTAGCACAGGTACTACACTCGTCGCCACTCCCGGACCTGTGTCAGGCTACCATCGGGCGCGCGGTGGGTGCAGGACCACACATCATCTGGCGCTTGCTTCACCCTATCCATCAGTCTGAGCGGGCCTCGGCCGGCATGTCTTTCCTTCCCACTATATCTTATGCTCTCATCTCTCAGTGTCTCACGACGCAATGAAGAACCCCTCTCGAACATCTAGCGCGGCCTCTGCCTCGACCGCAAGCACTTCTGAGAGTGCCTCTGACCACCAGCAACACGTCCTGCCCCATGCCCTGCGCTCACAGCTGGGTCAACTACTCCCTAAGCACGCACTCTTCCAGGTCCATGTCAAGGTCGAGCAGCTATCCAATGTCCCCCTTATTAGCGGCCAGTTCGCCGTACGCTGGAAATTTAAGAATGTCCAGTCGCGCTCGGGGATCCTATCTAAGATGAAGGCCAACCGCTCGTGGCCGTCCCGCAACAAGGGCAAGGGCAGGGCATCCGATGTGGGGCTCGCGATCGAGGTGACGCCGGCTGAGGAGGAGGTGGATTCGTACGTGGAGGACGACACAGGCGACGGCAGCAGCCCAGAATACGACGGTACGGACGACGAGTCGTATCGACGACGCGCGTCGTCAGGCGATTTCCCCCAGGAACCGGAGACTGCTGTGCCGCCGGTCACGCCTACGCCTGGCATCGTGCAACAGGCACCATCCACATCGTCTGCGCCAGAGCAGCGGCCGGGAGAGCCGCGCTCAGTCGCACGGGGCGTGACGCCTTGGCGGCCACTGCAGAACTACAACGTCAAAATGAACTACGACGTGAACGTGCTCGTGCAAATGGACGTGCACCGCGAGACCAGCGCCCTACTTCCAAACGAGCTCAAATTGGTAGTCATGCAGGTGTGTCGCACGAATTTAGCATGCTATGGTGTCATAGTTGACATAGGTACAGCGGGTCATCCCCGGCGACCCGAACTCGCCTCAGCAACCACGTCTGGGCGCGGTCTACCTCAATCTAGCAGAATACGCCGATGCGGGGCCGGTCACACGGCGTTATCTCCTGCGGAAGAGCAAGACCAATGCGACGCTGAAAGTGCGTCCCCTTTGCCACGCTATTCGATCACATTACTAACCCTTGGCCCAGCTGATGATCGAGCTTGAGTACGTTGGTGGTGTGAAGCACTACCGGCCGCCACCACTGCGTAAAGGTGAGATTATGGCGTCGGTGACAGGCCTACTCTCGAACAACGACCTACTCCGAACAAGCATTGCGCGTGAGCTTGACGAGTACACGCACGACATGCACCCGCACGAGCATGCATTCATGCACAGCGACGGCAGCGTAGACGGTGACGCGTTAGCGACATACGCCGGCCTACGCTCGACGGAAGACCTCATCGAGACCCTCTTCAATCCGCTTCCCACCGCCGCATCGACGTCATCTCCGTTCACGTACTACGCGCCGTTGCCGCCCGCGCAGGCGGAGCAGCGCGACGACGCGTCAAGCGACTCGCTCTCGCTTACGCAGGCATCAGTGCGGAGCGACAGCACCGGTGCCGTAAGCATTGAGAAGCTGCCAGTGGAGAGCTTGCCCGATCTGACTGCTCTCGAGACGGGCCGTGTGCCGAGCGAGGGGCAGCGGACGTGGTGGCGGAAGATCCGGAGTCGTCCCAATACCCCCGCACAGCGACAATTTAAGTTGCCCGTGCAAGAGGCTGAGGTTGCGCGCGCGTAGCCCAGTCCGCAAACACACGATTTCTTACTACAGATTGACTCGCATTGATATGGTATGTCTCGAGGCGGTTGACATTTATTTGTTTCGTCCCGCTCTCGATCCGCACACCTTCGTTACTCGCTTATTCTCTCCGTTCGTTCATCATGGACTATGTAGATCGTAACATATCCACCCAGCTAGTGTATGTGCTGCGCGCTAATGTACAGGTCTAATAGGGACTACTTGGGAACATGCATCCGCAATTGTGTTTTTACCTCTCAATTCTACATCACGTTCCTTTTACACACTAGCTCGCGCTGGCGCCGCTTCACCGGTGGTCTCGGTTTCCACAAATTGCTCGATGACCTTTTTCACCAGCTCGATGTCTGGCGCCTCCACCTCGATGACTCGACGTTGCTTCTCCAACAAGCCCTTGAACTCTTCTGGAAGTACGTCTCGTTCGAACTGGAAACTCGTCGAAGAGCTCAGGGCGCGCGTCACTGCTTCTGAGAATTTTGCTGGGTGTGCCGTTGATAGCACGACCTGAAATACATTGAGAGGGCTGCGAGGAGTTTCCTGCTCAGTATCGCCAGAGAAACATGAGTTTAAGTCGGAGCTCACTTGTGTGGTGCGACTATTCCCGCCGCAGTGAGGCCCACGGCTGTATGTGGGTCGGCGACGTACGACGGTTGAGAGCTATAGTATGCACGAATTGTCTCCAATGTCTGACGATAACCACAGTAGTAAGTGAGCAAATCGCGACCCGGCGGTAAGAGAGACATGCCTGTTCGTCCGAGACTTTGTCCGCGAGGAAATCCCTTCTCGCCAGTTCCAGTACAGCAGTGGGGACCTGTACTCGCCCGTCGCTCTTCATCTCGCTCATCCACCCGTCAAGCGTTGTACACGCTGTGCGTGCCCTGTCTGCAGAAGCGGCATCTTGTGCCGCACCCTCATACGCGAGGTACCAGAGCAATCGCTCGAAGTTGCTCGAGACGAGGATGTCCATCGCCGGGCTCAGTGTTTCTTTCACGCCGCCGGCGGCCTGCTTGCCGTCCGACGCACCATCTGCGGCGGCACCGGCCCCCACGCCGGAATCGACCTTCTCATACGCGCCGTGCCGCCAGAACCGCGCGAGAATGTCGTTCTCGTTCGTCGCGACCACGAGCTGCGCCATCGGCAGGCCCATGCGCTTCGCGTAGTAGCCCGCGAGTATGTCGCCGAAGTTGCCCGTGGGCACGACGAACTGCAGCGCAGCGCCCGCGGGCAGCTGCGGTGTGACATGGAAGTATGCGAGAAAATAGTAGACAGTCTGCGCGAGAATGCGAGCCCAGTTGATCGAGTTGACTGCGCCGAGGCGATGTGTCGCGTTGAACTCCTTGTCGGCGAAGAGTGCTTTTACCATGTCCTAGGAGATGGAAAACAAGTTCAATGAGTGAGATCAAGGCGGAAAGGCTACGCGTGCACCTGGCAGTCGTCAAATGTCCCATCGACGGCAAGATTATGCACGTTCACGTCGGTGACGGTAGTCATTTGTGCCTCTTGAATGGGAGAGACGCGCCCTTTCGGGTGCAGAATAAATATGGAGACGTTTGCTTTGTTTCGCAACCCATAGATGGCAGCACTAAAGGCAAGCGGGACGAATGGTCAAGACGAGAAGGGGCAATTTAGAGATACGAATCACCTTCCGGTGTCACCACTTGTGGCACCAATCACCGTCAGCTTCTCCTGCTTCTCTCCCGCAGCCTTCCGCGCATTCCTCCTCACTAGGAAGAACTCGAACAGATTGCCCAGCAATTGTAATGCAACATCTTTGAATGCAAATGTAGGGCCGTGGAAGAGCTCCAGAACGTACGTCTTGTCGTCCAACTTCTTTACAGGGGTGACATCAGGATGGCGGAACGTACAGTACGACTTCTCGACGAGGGCCCGCAGCTCGGCGCGAGAGATTTCGTCGGGAGAAATGTACAAGGAGAGAACCTCAACTGAGAGGTCGACAAACGAGTGGTTCCTCCACGCGATCTGCCAACCGTGTGGTAGCGATGGGATGTTCTCCGGGATGTATAGCCCGCCGTTCGGCGCGAGGCCCGTGAGGACGGTCTGCAATCTCGTTTAGAATGGTTTCTACTCTAGCTCATTGAGAAATCAACCTCTTCGAAAGATAGTAGTTGATCTTTCCCTCTTGTGGAAAAATATCGCATTTTGGGGACAAGTTGTGGGCCAAGTGCTCAGTACGCTCGCTCGAGTCTGACTCGAAGTAAGAGTCCACATACATATCACGTGATTGATCGGACTCCGAGTCGAACCCCCCGAGTCAAGCGATCTGGACTTTGTAGTCAATGCCACTCTTTGAACATGCCCACAAGAAGATCTGGACTCACCATCGAGTACTGTCTGATTTTAATTATCGAAAGTTGTGATGCTGAAAGCGCGGGATATTTCCGTGTCACACATCTGAAATTTGTCACGTGATCGCGTCCTGTTCGACTCCTCACAGTGCCTGTTTCCTCCCTACCGGAGGATATTGCACATGGTTTTATGGATATGTTCCAAGCGTACTGAAAACCAGGCTCCTTCCCGCCGTCTTCGGGAGGTGAGGGGGACTTCATTTGAGGGCGGAATTCAT